AAACCAAAGAATACATATTCTATTCATATGAATCTATCCTAAAAATGTTGTCGGCATTTAAATAACCCATTGAGATTTGATATGCCGCAAAACAAAATAAACCAAACCAATCTAAACCAAAGAATACATATTCTATTCATATGAATCTATCCTAAAAATGTTGTCGGCATTAAATAACCCATTGAGGTTGATATGCCGTAAAAAAAAAATAAACCAAACCAATCTAAACCAAAGAATACATATTCTATTCATATGAATCTATCCTAAAAAATGTTGTCGGCATTAAATAACCCATTGAGGTTGATATGCCGCAAAACAAAATAAACCAAACCAATCTAAACCAAAGAATACATATTCTATTCATATGAATCTATCCTAAAATGTTGTCGGCATTAAATAACCCATTGGGGTTGATATGAAAGATTAAAAAAACAAAATAAACCAAACCAATCTAAACCAAAGAATACATATTCTATTCATATGAATCTATCCAGAAAAAATGTTGTCGGCATTAAATAACCCATTGAGGCTGATATGAAATAAAAACAAAATAAACCAAACCAATCTAAACAAAAGAATACATATTCTATTCATATGAATCTATCCAATAAAAATGTTGTCGGCATTAAATAACCCATTGAGGTTGATATGCCGTAAAAACAAAATAAACCAAACCAATCTAAACCAAAGAATACATATTCTATTCATATGAATCTATAAAAAAAAATGTTGTCGGCATTAAATAACCCATTGAGGTTGATATGCCGTAAAACAAAATAAACCAAACCAATCTAAACCAAAGAATACATATTCTATTCATATGAATCTATCCTAAAAATGTTGTCGGCATTAAATAAACCCATTGAGGTTGATATGCCGTAAAACAAAATAAACCAAACCAATCTAAACCAAAGAATACATATTCTATTCATATGAAATCTATCCTAAAAATGTTGTCGGCATTAAATAACCCATTGAGGTTGATATGCCGTAAAACAAAATAAACCAAACCAATCTAAACCAAAAAGAATACATATTCTATTCATATGAATCTATCCTAAAAAATGTTGTCGGCATTAAATAACCCATTGACTTGATATCCGCAAAAAAACAAAATAAACCAAACCAATCTAAACCAAAGAATACATATTCTATTCATATGAATCTATCCTAAAAATGTTGTCGGCATTAAATAACCCATTGAGGTTGATATGCCGTAAAAACAAAATAAACCAAACCAACCTAAACCAAAGAATACATATTCTATTCATACGAATCTATCCTAAAAAATGTTTGTCGGCATTAAATAACCCATTGGGGTTGATATACTTAAAACAAAATAAACCAAACCAATCTAATTATAAAGAATACATATTCAATTCATACGAATCTATCCTAAAAAAATGTTGTCGGCATTAAATAACCCATTGGGGTTGATATGAAAAAAAAAAATAAACCAAACCAATCTAAACCAAAGAATACATATTCTATTCATACGAATCTATCCTAAAAATGTTGTTGGCATTAAATAACCCATTGAGGTTGATATGCCGTAAAACAAACCAAACCAAACCAAAGAAACCATCCCAAACTAATTCGATGATGTCGATGAGGTCGCAGACATGTGTTTGGGGTGGCCATTCCAAGACATTTTCTTCTGCAAATAGTTTTTTACATACCTTAGTGGTATGTTTCGTGTCAATATCTTCGATAAACACAAGGGTAGAGTTATATCCGTGTTGATTCAATATTCCTGGCACCCGATAAATATCCTCAACTCTACTGCCTGTAAAAACAACCCCAGATCATCACATTTTCTCCACCATGCTTTACAAGACAAGCAGTCATGATTCGTTCACTACTTCTTCGCCCTCACTGACACTCGCCTCCGAGATCTGGATTTCGTCAGTCCAGAGGAATCGTTTCCATTGATCAACAGTCCAGTTTTGATGGTTTTTTTTTTCTCGCCCATATGAGTCGCTTACGCCCGTCTAAGCCGAGGTTTCCTGGCAGCGTAACGATCATTTAAACCCGCTGCAGTGAGTCTTTTCTTTAACTATTGATGCAGACGTATTATCTCCGCTGGCTTTTCTTACTTGTGAAGCAATTTAAGGAACTCTCAGATTACTGTTTCAAAGATTTGTGATTCTGATCAACTTACCTTTGGAATTGGATTTTGGCCGACCTGACCGCTGTCTGTCGTTATTTTTGCCTGTTTCTGCATTTCTCCCAATAACGAAGCGAACTGCATTTTAACTTTTGTTGTTGTATCTCAGAAATTATAGCCTTCGCAACGTAATGTGAAGATGGATTACTTCTTCTCAGGTGAGAAATTACATTTCTTGCCCATACGAAGACTGAATCTGCAAAACTGAAGTTATTATTAATATTTTTAATAAGGGAATTTCAAACAGATAATAGCAATTAGGAAAATTGTGTTTTCTCATCTGACAAAGAATAAAGAGTGCTAATAGTGATTCTAGACTTCGTTGTTGCAATATAGAGGGCTGTAAAACAGTTTAGAGTCAGCCTCCTCAGACTCGGAATGCCGACTATTTTCAGATCGAATGTACCCCAAACGTGTGCAATAGGTTATTTCATGTAATTTTACCCCGGAACTATTTATATAATTGAACATAGAACTCGGTTTTGAAACGATTCTGTAAGGGGTGTTAAACGTTTGGAGGGTAGGATATATATATATATATATATATGGGACGGATTTGAAATGCAAGTATTTCGGATTATAACAATGACATATATATATATATATATATATATATATATATAATATTAGGTTGGTGCAAAAATAATGAAATAATAATGTCGTTTTTGACGTGCTTTTCTATGAAAAAAAAACGACATTCTTACGTCATTATTTTAAAACAAAATATAATATATATTTGAATTCAGTTTCTCCTTGACTATTTCCCATCCAAGGCTTTAGAACCCAGTCTATCCTGCTATTTACCCATATGTGGATTCCCAAGGGTATTAGTACGTAAGTGAATGTAATGGATTCACCTGGAATTCGAACTCGTCTCGATTCCTTTAATCATATATATATATATATAATATATATATATATATATATATATATATATATATATATATATATATATATATATTCAAATATATTCAAATTGTTTTTTTCTGTGTTCGGCCCTTCAAAAAGTATGGTTGGTTCTGCAAAGCCTTCATTACTATAATCAAATCACATGTTCTGTTGATGGCTGTCGGTGAGAAGGAACAGCGCTGCTTGACACTCATACGTCGAATCTTGGAGGATTAATTTTATATATATATATATATATATATATATATATATATATATATATATATATATATATATATATATATATATATATATATATATTTATTTACAATTTATATATATATATATTTATTACATAATTGATTTACAAGAGTTATGTAAAATTTCGCTATTTCTTACAGGTAAATGATATCTCTTTTGCTGCCGGTGGACCCTCATAATATGGTGGACTGCAAAAGAAAATGCATACGAATTGAAAGCATATTTCACCAGCCAGAAAATCATCGCTACTGCCCAAAGGGAATCCAGTCGGCATTTTGGAAAACGGCATTAAAGAATTTAGAAGGAATTTATTCTACTTTGATCATCATAATTGATTATCGACGAGTTTCGTAGCCGAGAATTTTTAAAGCACATCGGATCTAACAAAAGTTTCAACTGCCAAGGTTGACGTAGGTTCGAATCCTGTCGGGAAGCGAATAATTTTCTTTAATAAGATTTCTCGAATTGTCATATTGTGTGTATTTAAAATTGTCTGCAGATAGGATTAAAAATATGTATCAATATTGTGATTTTCTTTCTTCGTTTAATGATAATGTTATTAAGCTTATCAGACGATAGGAAAAGAATTTACATAAAATAAATAGACAACACTTCTCTATATTATTTAATAAAACATGCATTAAATATATATATATATATATATATATATATATATATATATATATATATATATATATATATATGTGTGTGTGTGTGTGTGTGTGTGTGTTTGTGTGTGTGTGTGTGTGTGTTAAAGTGTGTGGTCAGCCATTACTGATTTTTCTCTTTTCCTTCGTGTTACGGCCTTACGGTTATCCAGCAGTCTTATCTGAAGGTGCGGCCTTTTTCTCCTTTATATTTCTTCCCACGTCACTAATGTCCTTCGAGAAAGTGGTGTAGATTAGGGTTTTTCAAACTTTTTGACTTGTGGACCCCTTTATATTTCAGGCTTTACCTTGGGGAGGAACCCCTTATAAACGCTTATGAAATTTATACATAAATATTTGCTGAATATAACATAGAATATTGCATTAATGCAAATGCCTAACAGCCAATGAGAAAGCCGGGAATCGCAAAATAGATCCAAAAATTCAAATTCTTTGGTCCCTTCTCTGCATGAATAGAATCCATTATCTTTATCAACTTAAGATACAAATTATATTAGTATATCAAATCTATGAAATAGTTTATTGAACCAATTTATTTCATGATCGGCCTATAAGTTAGTTATAAGCGCTTATAAGTTGCACGTCACCCATAAAAAAGTCTTTGCTGTCCACGGACCCCCAATCTTGTCATTGCGGACCCCCTGGGGTCCGCGGACCACAGTTTGAAAATCCCTGGTGTAGAGGATACAAGAGTTGTGTTACTGTCATCTAGATGTCATGGGTACAATCCGTGGATCTGGTAATAAGGGAACATTCATTCTTTAACCACATCTATATCAACGAAGATGGTAACAATATTTCGATAGTTCGAAATAATACAAGAATATTGACAATTAGTCATCTCACAAATGAAATATATTAAATTAGGAAAAAAATACATGTTCAGCATTATTTTCTCCAATCAGACATTTTTATTAAACCTCCGCCCAGTATTGCTGATCTGTTTAATGGCGACTGAGCCATTGTATTCTTTAGATATGTTTTTCTTCGTCTGAGTATGCCGCTGGAAGAGCGCTCTACAGAACATTTTGGAGCAGAATGGTTGCCAAGATACCAGCGATTCTTGTTGACGACTGGCAGTCCGCCATGATGATAATGCTTGTAAACTGTTTCAACAGCACCAGGAATTGTGTGCGAAACTGACAGATGCGTATGGTCCGTGAATAACTTTGTAGTGAGAGAGAGACAGAGAGACAGAGAGACAGAGACAGAGAGAGAGACAGAGACAGATATACAGAGAAAGAGAGAAAATTCACAGTGAGAGTGTGTGTGTGAGAGAGAGAGAGAAGAGAAGAAAGATACAAAGAAAGACAGACAGAGAGAGAGCAAGAGAAAGAGACAGAGAAAGATGGAGAGAGAAAGAAAGAAAGATGAAAGAAGAGAAAAATGTGAAAAAAAAAAAGATATAGAAGAAAAAAAAAAAAAAAAGAAAAGATAAAGATATAGATAGAAAAAGAAAAAGAGAAAAGATTTCGAAATAGAAAAGATAGAAGATAGAAAGATAGATAGAGAAAAGAAAAAAAGAAAGAAAGAAAAGAAAAGAAAGAAAAAGAAATGATAAGAAGAAGAGAAAGAAAGGAAAGAAAGAGAAAGAGAGAAAAAGAAAGAGATAGAGAAAAAAGAGAAAGAAAGATAAAGAGGAAGAAAGAAAGAAAAAAGAAGGACAAAGAAAAAAAGAAAGAAAGAAAGAAAAAAATAAAGGGAAGAGGGAAAGAAAGAGAAAAAGAAAGAAAGAAAGAAGAGAAAGAAAGATTGAGAAAAAAGGAAATAGATAAATAGATAATAGATAGATAGAAAGAATAGATAGATAGAAGAAAGAAAAAAGAGAGAGAAAAAAAAGAAAGAAAGAAAGAAAGAAAGAAAGAAGAAAGAAAGAGACAGAGAAAGAAAGAGAAAAAGAAAGAAAAAAGAAAAATAGAAAGAAAAAAAAAGAAAAAAAAAAAGAAAGATAGATAGATAGATAGATAGATAAGAAAGAGAGAGAAAGAGAAAGGAAAAGAAAAAGGAAAGAAATATATATAGAAAGAATATATATATATATATATATATATATATATATATATATAAAAAGAAAAAAAAGAGAAAGATTTAGAAGATCTGAAGAAATCCAAAAAAAAGAAAGTTAATAAAAAAGAAAGAAAATGGAAATTTTTGAACCCCAAAAGAAAAAGTTATAGAAATTTATTATTATAAAAAAAAATTAAATTCTACATAAAAATGTCTAATAATGAAACAACTAGGGTCTATTAAAAAAAAAATAATTTTTTTCCTATTATCAGAAAAACTGTATTTTCAATGCCTGACTAATTAAAAGTTATTCAAGAAATAATCTAAATGAAAGAAAAATTATTTACATACATTTAAAAAGAAAATTTAAGGACTAGTAGGAAATAAAATCTCTATAGACCAAAAAAAGCTGTAAAAAAAGAAAAATCATAAAATTTAAAAAAAGAAAAAGAAATTTAAAATGGCCTGTTTTGTTCGTTGAACCCTCATTTTTGATTAAAGTATGCTGATTGAAGATAATATAAAATAAAAAAAATTTTTTCGTTCTTCCTACTTATCTATTAATTAAGAAAAATGTATAAGGAAAAAGACTTTGAAAAAAAAGATTAAAAAGAATCGGTAAGAAAAAATTTGTGAGAAATTTAAAAAAGGTAAATAAGCAAAATTCTAAATTTGAAAAAAAATGGTTCTTGTGATCAGGAAAAATCTTCTTTGAGCAAATCATTCCCAAAGCAGCGATTCGGCTGAAAGAAGACTTGAATTGGAAATTCGCCAATGACGAAATAAAGAAAACATTCGGCATAAAAATTAAAAAAATTCTAATAGAAGAGAAAAGAAAAAAAATAGTTGGCCATCGGGCTTTTTAAAAGTGTCATATCTGCCCTCGGGCGAATAATGAATAAAAGAAAAAAGCTGTGTAAAGGAATCTCTGCGGACAGAAAAAAGCTAAAATTTTTTATTACCTGAAAGGGGTGCCTGGTCTCGGGTCAAATGAAAAATTTTTTAAAAAAGGTTTTCCACATTACATAAAATAATATCAAACTCTGCCAGTTGCTTTCAAAAAGTAAATTTACGTTTAAGTATAAAAATAATTTTTTAATGTTTATAACCGCCGTTTCTTTAAAAAGAGACATTCGGTATTCATTTTGGAAAAAAAATGATTGCCAATCGATTACGATTTTATTCAAAAATCCCTCATCAAAAATTAAAGAAAAATGTTCCCCAATTCTAATGATATAAATATTAGCATATTTAAATATAAGGAAGCATTCATTGAAAAAAGTCACTAAAATCCTAAAACTTTTTCTTCGTTACCCGGACTCGTTTTTTTGGTATCAAAAAGAGAAAGTATCTATTTGAATTCATCTACTAAATTAATTGAAACAGAAATTTCTTAAATACCTCATTGAAATTCGGATGGTTTTCCTCAGTTTCATTACCATATTCACAACGTTTTCTTCGTTTACGCCCGGCTTTCTTGTCAAAGAAATAATTCTAAATATTAAATTC